TTTTGCTTATGTGGTGCTGAGGAATCGAACCCAGGGCCTCATGCATGCAAGGCAAGTGCTCTACCACTGAGCCACCTTCCCAGCCCCCCATCTCTGTTTTGAAAATAGAATTAGAAAAATTTTATTAAATCTAAGCTCGTGTTAAAAGCAACTTGTTCCTTGTGACTTGGGATTAGTGACTGATGTGTTTTCTATGTGCGATGAACATGGTACAAGACTCACATCTGCCCTGGATACTGCTCAAACAGCAGTAATTGAATGCTAATTTTGTGTGAGTTTCCTGCAGCATGTGCGCACACACACACACACGCACGTGCCCACATGCGCACACACACACACACACAACCAAATGAAATCAGAATGCGAACATTGTTACCAGTGGCAGGCTCGCATGGAACTGGTGTATAATATTTGGAGTATACTTCATCTTTTGGCCGATCAGGAAACACGTATATAAGGTAATCCAAGTCCCCCAGACGGTCGGCCAGTGACCGGATGGAAAAGTCTCTGGTGGTAAAAGGCATCAGATTCCAAAACATCCTCTCCTCTAGATCAGTAAACAGAATAATCACATTCTAATCATGATTTCTGAACATGGGGACCTTGACACCCAGATAACACTACAAATTTAAGCTCTCCATGGAAATTGTTCCAACACAAATCTCTAGTTTAAAATAACCACAGGCTGCAGGTAACATACTTTTAAAAAGCCATGGTAGATAAGCCCTAGAGATACAATAATCTCAGGTCAATACAAGTTCAAGCAACATTCTGTCCTTCCCAGAAGAAACAGTTCTTATTGACCCCAATCCCCAATTCTCTGTACAATGGTATTTAAGAAAGCTAGAACACACGCTCATGTCCAGAGAAAGCAGTAAGAGCTATTAAAAACTATTAAGATCAGTAAGACACAAAAAACCAACAAGCAAGCTACGCTATCTCATTATAGAGTCTGGAGGAAAGAACCCACATTCTTGTATGGCGATGATCAGAGGCTATACACTTACGTTAACTAGGAAAAAGGGAGTGATTAATAGTGTACTATTATTCTCAGGATGCCAAATCATCCAAGTAATTCCGCACTAAAATAAGCTTCAGGTTGGGCAATAATGAGGGAAACACTTCAAAAGGGAAGTGGCTGAGATTGTGCAGACTGCAGTATTACATGGTTATACTTTTGTATTTCCCAAAATGTACACTTGTGTTTCCCATAATAAGACTGTTCACAGGCAGTCATTTGTGAGCAGCTGTGTCATGGTGATGATGGTTTGTATTTCCCATAATTAGTACTGGCCTCAACAAATAATAAGTACACAATCAATTGTTAAAATAATTTTGTAACAAAGGCAGCTTATTTTGGGACAGAAAACCAAGCTGTGTCTTATAGAAGGAGGAGACACTCACGAGAATCAAACTTCCAGGCAATGGTGATTCCACCGATTTCTGAGTCACTGAATCTCAGCAGAAAGGTCCCATCTGGCTTGTTAATGAGGAGGTCATGAGCCTGTTGCTTGTTCACAAAACCCAGGATGGCCCTAGAAGCAGAGGATGAGGTTAATGCCAGGAGGAAGACCTTTATACTCTATGATTAATTTAAAAAATTATGGTTCTACCAAGTTTGAGACCAGCCTGGGCAACAGAGACCTCCCCTTCAAAAAAGGAAGGACGGAAGGAAGGAAGGAAGGAAGGAAGGAAGGAAGGAAGGAAGGAAGGAAGGAAGGAGGGAAAGAAGGAAGGAAGGAAGGAAGGAAAAGATGGTTCTCACCCATCATTCCAATGAGGCTTGAGATGTTTTTTTAACACTTCCATCACACCGTCAAACCACTGCCAGAAAGTATAATTCCGTCCCGGCAAATTCTCCTGGTTGGAGATATACAACAATGAACACAAGAAAGCAAGAGTGACAGTTGGACTACTGCTTGAATGTACTTTGACTGGAAAAATGAAATGGAAAACAAACATCTCCTCTGTCAGAAACAAACAAGTATCCCTATGACCCTACCAAATGGTCCTATAACAGACAGACCACAGAAGAAAAGGAAGTGAGAGAAAAGGCAAACCCCTAGAGGACGGCAGGCTGACCAGTCCTGGTTGTTTTCAATGTGCAGCCTGAGACCAGCAGCATTAGTACCACCTGAGAGATTCTGAGAAATGCACATTTTCCTGGCTCATTTCGGACCTGCTGAATCACAGCCTGCATCTTAGCAAGATGCTCCATGGGTTGGTAGATTTGAGTGGGATAAAATTACGCAGTAAGGCCACAGACATGGTGGCATCACACAGATGTTCCCATGTTGTCTGCCAAGTGTAGTTACCTGGTTGTACTGGACAGCAGGGATTTGCTGCAATGGCAAAGACAAACCCTGAGCTCTCCTGCTTTCCCCATTACAGCCCTTCCACTATCAGCAAAGCTGCCAATCAACTTGTTAATACAAACCATACAGAAGACTCGAAATACCAGGAGCAAGGGTAGAAGAAAAGAAACCAAGATCTGCTATCTGAAGTTCTAAGATGCTAGAGGAAATATTTCCTTCATTAGTGTCCCCTTCTGGGGGTATAGGGTCTCATGGGAGCCCAGACTGGGTTTATATATCAGTGAACACTAGACATTAGATGGGACAATGTCTTGGAATTCTCATCATCCTAAAGCTGTATTTCTCATAAGTTACATTCATGTTTGCTTTCCTTTGCAAGTTCATAAACTTTGCACAAAGCCTGGTTTCCTTAAAATATGAAAAAATGGCATTTTTTACAAGACATGGGTAATTTTTAAAGTTGTTTATCTATTCAGATGCTTCTCTCCCTCCCTCCCCCTCTCTCTGCTGGTCCTGGGGCTTGAACTCAGGGCCTAGGCATTGTCCTTGAGCTTTTTTGCTAGCACTCTACCACTAGAACCACAGCTCCACTTCTAGCTTTTTTGAGGGCTAATTGGAGAGAAGATTCTCACTCCTAGGCTGACTTTGAGCCACGATCCTCAGATCTTAACTTCCTGCATAGCTACAATTACAACCTTGAGCTACCTGTGCCTGGTTCAGAAGCTTCTCTTACTTCTGGCTTATTTTATTAGATATATAAAGAACAGGGGCCCAGGACAGGGAGACTCCAGAGGGTGAATGATTGGGAATGATTGACCTAATAGCAGCTGGCAGCTGCTTGCTCACCCTGTTGAATTGGGACCAGGACACGGACATGCTGCTGTAGTCCTCCAGGTGGGCGCTGCTGCTGTTGAACAGCTTCTGTGCCAGGAACACGAGGTTCTCCTTGGTCAGGCCCCGGTTGCTCTGTACTTCGGCCTTGAATTTCATGTTGAGCGCCTCGCACAGCTGTGGCCACAGCACTTTGTCGGGCACAGCAAATGGCACCCTGCCCTGAGAGCAAGGGAAGCCAGAATTATATGAGAAAACAGCTGCATGATTGATTTCCTTAAGCCACAGAAGAAAAACAATGGTAGCTGGAGGTAGTTACAAACATTTGTGGTGCTACGCTGGAGGACATTCAGACTTCTTGGGATAGGCCTTTCTGAGAGATGCCTTCTTCCCACATCTGGAAAAGGGCCTCATGGGAGGTGTGCCAGTTGGTAAATGACCTGCCCACCCTGCAGTCCAACTCTAGGTTCTAACGCAATCAAAACAAAACCTCCCTCACCTAGGTCCAGCTCTTATGCTATAAACTTAGGAAATTTCAGAAATTGAAAAGACTAGTTTTCTAGGTACAGAAAGAATATGCACATATCGGTCCACATGCTCACATGAACCTGTGTGTGTTCAAATATCTGCCCTTGACACCTTCTGCCAAGAACTCTAGCACCAAGTGAAGCAACTTGGCATGCAAGGGTAGAAATTGGCAACTTTATTGAGAAATAGTTTAGAATATGAACTTTAGGCCAGGCACCAATGGCTCATGCCTGTAATCCTAGCTATTCAGGAGAATGAGATCTGTAGATCTCCATTTGAAGCCAGCTCAGGCAGAAAAGTACATGAGGTTCTTCTTTCTAGTTAACCATCAAAAAACCAGAAGCGGAGCTGTGGCTCAAGTGGAAGAATGTCAGCCTTAAGTAAAAAAGCTGAGGGACAGTGCCCAGACACTGAGTTCAAGCACCAAAGAAAGAATAAAAGAAAATGAAACAATAAGAACCTTCAATAAATTGCTTTTCGGGGGCTGGGAAGGTGGCTCTAGTGGTAGAGCGCTTGCCTTGAATGCATGAGGCCCTGGGTTCGATTCCTCAGCACCACATAAACAAAAAGAAAAAAGCCGGAAGTGATGCTGTGGCTCAAGTGGTAGAGCGCTAGCCTTGAGCTGAA